ACTCCTGATGCCCAGGGTTTTCCATTGACTACGACATCATCAACAAAACCATCCACATCCGAGTCCTTCAAGCCCCTGCAAGAGGAGAAGACAAAAACCAGGTCAATGTCAAGATAACATAATCGATAGAATGACTCAGGCATACATAAATGCATTTCAGCCCAAACTGCCATAATTATGCAACAAAGAAACACTACTAAAAGCCAGCTTGTAAACCCACAACCAGGGTTTCATAGCATAAAACAGAGCAACTAAGAGTACTCCTATCAATTCCTGAAATGCACAAAGAAATAATTAGAGTGAAGGTAAATTAAATAGGAGATACTAAACCTATGAAGCTGTGTATTTATCCTTTTCAAGATGATAAACACTCATCTTCAAAGTCGAGCCTCTAATTTCAATATCCAACCTAGGTCCGGTCAAAACCCGCATGAAATCGTTAAATGACAGCATGTTGTTTGATATTCATCACTCTAAAGCCTTTGACGCAAATTGGGAAGTCTATTTTAGGCGTAAAAGAAATTAAAATCATTTAGAGTAGTGTTTTCCATTATTGCATTGGATTGGTTTGGTTTTGTAAAAGGAAATCTTAATTTTCCCTAGTAATGATTTCTGTTGTGCTACATGGTTTACATACACATGATATGGTAAATTACAATTGGATCAGAATTTTTTCAACCAAATTTAAAAAAAATAAAAAATAAAAAATAAAAATCTTCACCACTCTCTTTTTGACACCTCATCTGTATTTAAATCATTATATAACTCCATTATTTACAAGCAGCATTATTCTTATGATTGTCCATATTAGTCGTCATTCAGAACCTATATAAAGAGGGCTCATTGATTTTAATTGGGCACACTTATATATTGAATAAAAACTAAAGTCTTCCTCTCATTTCTCTCTTCCTACTTTCTTCTTCTTCTTAATTGTTCTCGTTCTTCATTCGCATCAATTTGGTATTAGAGCTAAACGCTCCCCTCTGGCTTCAATTACACGCGTGAAGGTTAAGTAAAGGTGTTTTCCCACAGCAGCCGTCTCATCCCATTCACATATCTAACCTCTGCATCAGCCAAAAAGAAATAAAACCTTGTCCACCACTGCCCCACTTCATTCAACAATCCATTAACACTACAATCACCAACCTTTAAAATCCTTTTCAAGGTCAACAGCAACCTGCTTGTTCTCTTCCTTAATTTTCAGCTAATTGTTATAGTTCAAAAAACAAAAAAAGGGCACATTTTTCACTGCCTTAGTCTCACCTGTTTGCTATCCTTGGTGTCCTCTTTAACCAAAGGCAATTGCATTCCAATTGTATTATCTGTTAGAAATCTGTCGAAGCCGAGAGAACTAATATTACTGCTGCTGCTAGAATTCCTATTGTTGCAAAGGCTGTTACTGCTTAACAGGCCAAAAGACAACTCTCCACAAACCAAACCCTAACACACTTTAGCCCAAAAGCACACACAACCCAACTATCACTCCCAACCAAAAGCCCAACATCCTAAATTACTACCCATCAGCCTGGGCCATCCACAAGACCTGACCCACTTATCCATATACAACATTGACACTCTCCAGAGCCCTAAAACTTCGGCACTGGTCACCAATCATCAACACCGGCCACAACCTCCTTCCAGCTTTACACCAGTTACCCATCCCACATACAGACCCACCCACCATCCTTCCCCCAGCTGATGCAAGATCTCCCACTACTTCTCCACCTCACGTCACCACCAACATACTACTACTCAGTTTCTATGTAATCACCGCTTCCACGTCATCTGCAGTCTCTGCATCTCCGACTACATTTACCGTGCTCTTCTATCACCATCTTGAAATCCCAGTTGCAGCTACTGTTACCACTGTCCCAGTTGGATCCCTGTTCATTTCGTCACCACAATTGCCACTTGACTAAAGTCGCTACCTCCATCTGTCGCCAGTCATCGCTCAGTGCACTGCCATTCATCGTTCGGTGCACCACAACCGTTTGCAAAAGCCCACATCTTCTCCTGCTTATGCCTCTGCTACACCCCACGGTCACCACCTCCCCTGACCGTCCATTTACATCACCATCGCTGACTGTACACTTTCGCATCTCACTCTACCGCTTTCTACTGCAGGAATTCCAGTTCGAATATCCACTTCCCATCCAAGCAGCTACCCTTGCTCAACCAGCCAGTCTACTTGTCTTCCTTCATGCTGCTGCCATACACCGTTTTCGCAAGACATTGACGGTAACACAGAACCATTTCCATCGATACCTCCATCTCCAGTTAGCTCTCTCGTGTGGTAATAATTCATTTCTGCTTTTTGATATTGTACTTATAATTAACTGATTTTGGATTTTTAAGTTGACTTCATTTTAGTTTCAATTAAAAAATAAATAAATAAAAACTAAAAAATAAAAATATTAGAACAGAACTCTCAGCAATCATAAAAGACCCAACCTCATAACACATCTCTAAACAAGTCAAGTTAGATAGCACAACATGAATCTAAAAGATCTTAACCAGTCTCATGATACACTCTCACGACAAGTCACTAATCTTAGCATTGACATGACGTCGATGAAATCTAATCTAGCTGAGTTTAAGTCTCATCCACCACCTTAGTGAATAGGTTGAACAATCATCTCGAAATCCAGGATAACGTCCTATAGAGAATTCTTATAATTCCTCTACCATAGGTCAAAACGTCCATGACCCACTTCGGCGTACGCCAGATGGCACACTTCCTACTCCACAATCTTGGTCCTAGACAACAAATTCTCTATTCAAATCTTCATGACTAGAGCTATCAATGGATTGGATTTTGATAATTCGATGAAATTAATGAAAGATAGATTTATAGTCTCAGTCCCATAATTCGATCAAAATTCAAATCTATTAACTAAATGGAGCAAATATAGATATAACGTAAAACCAATTTGATAACAATATGATCTAATTTGTTATAATAATATATTGTATTTTATATAGTACCGCATAATTTTTTACACACTTTTTCATTTAGAAACTTGTATTATACTATGACTTTTAATGAAAAATGTCATACCTATCAAACTCCAATATAAAATTAACATATATTATAATAAATTTTGTATTGAGATTGAGAACCCCCTCTTTCCAATTAAAAAATAAAATAAAATAATAATAATAATAATGTGTAAAATATTTCGGATTGGATTATTAGATTGGGTAATAGCATTTCATAATTAATTGGCAAATCTACTTTCATTAGGAACATATAATATGGGGATAACATAGCAAATTTTAAGTTTTTCTTCATTTCATACTATTGGTGCTTGTAATTTATCCTAATAATTAGAGCTAAGTTCTCATATTTTAATGAACTTAGGCAAATTCTCCACTATAGCACACGTCTTCAATATTATTGTATGTAATTTTATCTCCATTAGTTGAAAAAAGACAATTTGAATTTTACAGTTTTTCTTCATTTCATACTATTGGTGCTCGCAATTTATCCTAATAATTAGAGCTAAGTTCTCATATTTTAATGAACTTAGACAAATTCTCCACTATAGCACACGTCTTCAATATTATTGTATGTAATTTTATCTCCATTAGTTGAAAAAAGACAATTTGAATTTTACTTCATCTCCTTGTCAAACATCTCCACCTTTATGTCAACGATAATGATTGAATATAATCTTCATTTGCTAGAAGCAAAATTGATTTTCTTTTCCTTGAATATTTGCTAATATTTGTAACAAAATTGATTTCGTCCACCCTACATCTAGCGGATCCCAAAACAAATCTCCCCCTCCGCCTCATGCGATGGGTTCTACCTCATTTTTTTTACCTACAAGCTTTGAGCTTCTCCTTTGGCAAAGATTTCGTCCAACATATTCGACTATTATTGCTAGAATGAATGTTCTCTAAATTTAACTAATTTGCTTCAAGTACATGACATCAATATGTATGGTGGACAGAACTAATTTTTCTACAAATGTTAGCAAATATTCAAAGAAGAAAAAACCAATTTTGCTTCTTCTAATAAATGAAGATTATGGACAATCATTATTGTTGACATAAAGGAGGAGATGTTTGATAAAGAAATGAAGTAAAATTATCTTCTTCCGACAAATGAAGATAAAATTACATCCAATAATATTGAAGACGTGCTGGAGTGGAGAATTTGCCTAAGTTCACTAAAATATGAGAAGAACTTAACTGTAATTATTTAGATAAATGGCAAGCACCAGTCGTATGAAATGAAGGAAGAAAAATTCAGATTTTCTATTTCTTTATAAGTCAAAACTTCTGTATTTTTTAACTAGATTTTTAAGTTGCAAACCGTCAATGTTTTTTCATAAATATGATGAGAGTTTTTATACTTCAGAGACAATTTTGGAGAGCCTCTACTAGAGAGATTGGAGAGAAAATTGTTGAAGAACTCTACAATGTGTAGAAACAAAAATAGGGAGTGCCTCTAGGTAGCCAAGAAATTATTTCTTTTCTTGATATTATTGTGTCATGTAAACCCATTATTTGTGACATAGTGAAAGTTGAAGTGGACTACAATTCCACGATTTTCTTTTACATTAAAAGATTTTACATGATAAAATCGGTGTTTTTCTTATCAATTTATTTTCAGACCTTTGGCTTTGGCAATATCCCGTTGCATATTACTAGTAGACTTTTTCCCAAAATCTAAGGAAATATGATGGATTTAGCCACTGCAATTGAAAATTGCACCAGCAAATAAAGAGATGGCTCTTAAAAAAGAAAAAAGAAAAGAAAAAACTAGAAAACATGCACCTAAGTCAAACTCATAATCAGAACTCAATTCTTAAGCAAGAAGCTAATATTGGGTTCACAAACTCTACTCATCACTCCACAATTAGTAATAAAAATAAAATGCTTGGAAAACATATTACCTGTATATGATCATTTCAGGGAAATCCAAAACATCTCCTTCCGATAACACTAGGTCATCACCTCCCTCGCATATGGTCAGCCGAGTCTACCATAGAAGATCACTCATCAACATTCAAAAGAGAGAGAGAGAGAGAGAGAGGAAGGAAGGAGGACAACTCTACATAGAAACACCCATCCCTCTCAATAATCATAACAAACACACGTAAAAGTTACTCATAATTCAGATGAATACTTGAAACTTTTTTGAGCCTTATACTAGCACGCATTCATGAACAATAAGTTTAAAATCTATGGAAAATTTATAGTTGATTAAATCTCAGATGAATTAAAAAGATACATTAATATGTTTTTCAGAGCTTTAAAAGCAAAGGATAGGTGCTTGTAAAGCAGATCGGGGTCGAAATTATAATTAACTCATCGATGGTCCTTCTAGAACCCTACTAATAATAATGAACGCACGAGTTCGTATAAGCTAATCATAATGAACACATATAACAGTAACCCATTGTAGTTCTGTTGAATATCTAATTCATTGAAGATTTTAATTGCATTACGTTCAAATCCAGCGAAAATTCAAAGCAAAAACTTCCGATTAATTAAATCTCAGTCTAATTAAAAACCTTAGCAGCGATGTCGTTTTTGCGAGCTTTAAGAGCGGAGGAGAGGAGCTTGGGAAGCGGATCGGAATCAGAATCCTCAACGCGAGAAGGCCATGAGTCGTGAGTCTTGTAGCAAAGGAACAAGTGGCGGTCGTAAGGATCAACGGTGCCAGAGAGGTTGCTCTGGTATATATCTGGCCGCTCGAATCCGTACTTGGTGCTTTCATCGGTTGCGACTGTGGACAAGCTCTCCGATTCTCCGGCCATTGTGGATTGTGAGGTCCAAGGAGAGAAATTAAAGAAATGATTACAGATTTTATTTGGGCGGTGGCGTAAGATATGACAGTAATATGTGATTGAGGAGAGAGAGGGGTTAGGGTGAGTAATGCGCATCGCCCCGGGAGACACACAGCAGCGGTGGTGTGATCCTGTCCCTGTGTCTTGAGCTATTTTTCTGTAAATTAAAAAAAAAAAAATGTTTTTTAAGTTTTATCTCTTGCACCATTTTGGTGCCGCGACATAGGGTAAAATGGGAAATCTCAATTAAATAATGCTATAGTAAATATCTCAATTGAATACATCATGATGTACAGTTCTCTCACATAAATAAAAAATTTGTGGCCCCTCCTATTGTGAGGGAATTGTAAGAGTGTACAACACTACTCATTAGATCATTTCTTCTCAATCGAATAATATTATTCTTTTACAAAATTCAAATGTTTAAATTTCGTAAATAATTTTTTGCAGTACATTAAATCTTGACGCTCAAACAATGACATGAAATAAGTAAATTAGCAGAACTATTTTAATTTCAAGAAGTAGAACGGAATTGGTATATAAACATTTTGAGTTTAATTTATTTCAAATTTTATTCAAAAATATATTTTTAAAACATATTTACTTAACTTGTTAAACACGGTCCAAGAGAAAACAACATTGACTAATGAGAAATAAAAAACATATTTACTAATAAGCACTTTTTCTCTCACTAAAGTGTAACTTCAATCACCGGAACTTTCGGCTTCAAAGAACAACAATTCTCCGCCTGATTATGCACTTGTTTGAGTCACATTACTGGAATGCAAAATATACTTTTAAAGAGTGTATTGATAAAAAATACGTGGTTAAAAAATAAAGAAAAATTTTAAATTTACGTGTAATACTATTTTATTGAAAAATGCGTAATTGAAATAATATCAAATTATTGTTGAAAAATATATTTTTTTAAAGAATGTGACTCAAATAGAGCCTATATTTAAAAGACCGACCATTTTCACCCATCTTTCTTAAAATACAAGAAAGCTTTCTTTTATGCCCTTGTTTGAGTCTCATTTTATTAAAATTCATTTTCAATTAAACATTCTTCTATAAAATAATTATGCACGTATTTCAAAAAAAATCTTATTTTTTAACAACACATTCTCTAAAAAAAAAAAATAACTATTTCATAATGCATTTCATCCCAAAAATAAGAATCAATCAAGGGCTATATTGACAAATAACCAATTT